GAGAGAGAGAGAGAGAGAGAGAGAGAGAGAGAGAGAGAGAGCTGCTATGGTGGTGAGAGAAGGCAGATCCAAACAAAGCATAATCAATTGAAGGTTTGACAAAACAAAATCCTATAGAAGCTTCTTCAGTCCAGATGGATTTTGGTGTGGTTTGACTTCTTGGGGTGGAGGGAAAAACACAATGCCACGTATACACGTTCGGATTGTTCTTTGCAAATGCAAACCAAAGGATATCTATAAAATATTTAATTTTGAATTTTTACCTGGTCTTTTTGCTTGGAGAAGGGTATTATGGGAGCATTTTTGCTCACCACTTTAACCATAGGTGTACTCTCACTAGGGGTGGTTGCGGTTCGGTAACCGCGAATTTTTGCCTAAACCGCAAACCGATCGACTATTTGCGGTATGGTGATTTTTGAAACCGCAAACCGACCGCGTTTTGCGGTTTACCGCATTGCGGTAAACCGCAAAAAGCGGTCGGTTACCGTGAATTAGCGGTTTAAAACCGCAAGTTCTTTTTGTGTCATAAAAATCCAACTTCTCAAGTATATATAAATTCACAATCTCCTCAACTTCTCAAGCATTTACAACCTAAAGAAAATTAAAGTTCAATTTCAAGCATTCCAATTAAGGTTAAACTTCTCAAACATTCCAATTCCAAATTCTTTAAAGTTACAAACCAAAAGGAAAATGCAATGCAAAATGAATTAAAGTTACAACCCAAAAGAAAATTCAATTCAAAGTTAATTAAAGTTACAAACTAAAAGGAAAATGCAATGCACCAATGTTACAAACTCAAGTGTTGGTGGTGGTGAGTGGATTTGAAGAACCCCGTTGTGTTGTTTAAGCACCAATACTATCTACAAATAAAACAACATAAGTTTAGTACATTTTATTATAAGAAGAAGCATAAATAACATGAGCATAAATAAACTAATTACTTATTTATGCAACCTCATCATCAATCGCATCCTCTTTTGCACAAGTTGTAGAAAATATTGTATGAAATATGTTGTATGAAATATATTTTACATACAATATAATATAGATAATATTATTTAAAATATATTCACGGTTTGTGGTAACCGCAAGTTTTGAAAATCAAATACCGCAACCGCAACCGCAAATGCGGTTTGGTTCTAAATACCGCAAATGCGGTTCGGTTTACCGCAATTGCGGTTTCATTGCGGTAAATTATCGGTTCATTTTTGCGGTTTTTTGGTTTTTCGGTATAAAATGCCACCCCTAACTCTCACCACCATACTCAATGCTTGACACGTGTTCATAGGTATAATCATGATTCCATAAATATAAAGCAAAAATTAACTATGGTTATGTCTATGAACACATGTCAAGCATTGAGGATGGTGGTGAGGGTACACCTATGGTTAAAGTGATGAGCAAAAATGCACCCATTATAGAATTGAACTTTTTTTTTTTTAGTCTGAACCATGAGGTGGTCCTGGATGGGCCCCAATTATGGGTGGCACCTTTAAGCCTTAACCACAACCCAGACTAATCCCCACTCACATCGAGTCGGCCCGTAAGGGGTAAAGTGTTGGCCAAAGTGGTGACTCCGTACGAGAGCAGGGATCGAACCCCTGACCTCTCTTAAGGAATGAGAGTGCCGAACCACTCACACCAACCACCTTGGTTTATAGAATTGAACTTTTACCTGATCTTTATCCAATTTTTTAATAAGAATATATTTACTTTTTATTTTTATCAATAAATGTTGAGTGACGCGCTTATATTTGTCATCTAGAAGGGCCCCTGGCCCACTGGGACCATGAATTATTAGAATGGAAGTTGGCACGGTTGTTTTTGGTCAACAAAAAGCAAGTGTGATTTGGAAATTTCACACAACAAAGAAGCATATCTTCTTTTAAGTTAGGTTGGCATGTGAAAAACAAGTGGTTTATCCCTTATTCTATCCGCATTTCTGATAAGTAAATATGACATAAAATTATTTTTTGATTTATGACTTCTCATGCTTTTATTAACACCTACCGAATCAAAATAAGTAAATGAATCTTTAATTCAATACATGAAAACTCATAATTAGATTGATTAGAGGGGAGTATTTGATCTTAAACCTATTCTTTCTTGCTTTTAATTATGAATGTACCGAATCAAAATAAGTTAATGAATCTTTAATTCAATACATGAAAACTCATAATTAGATTGATTAGAATGGAGTATTTGATCTTAAACCTATTCTTTCTTGCTTTTAATTATGACTGTTCCGATTCATAACTTCCCTCATTTGATTGTCTTAAAGTGTTAATTTGAAAACAGTTTTTTAATTTTTAAAATTTGAAAACTTGTTTGGTTGAATTCTTGAAAACAATTTTTTTTTTAATTCATTTTTTTTAGTTAAGGTATTGATAAACATTTTTTATTTATACAATTAATAAACAGTATTGAAATTATACTAAACATACTAATTTTAAAATACAGTCCCGATCTCTTGGACTACAGGGGTCCAAGAAATTTGTGGTCACTAACTGTTGGATGTAAATTCAACGATTCACTCACTCTTGCACTCCTTTTAAGAAACTTTTTTGAACCGTTGGATTAATATTCAACGGTGTGTGACCACAATCTCTTGGACACCTATGGTCCAAGAGATCGGAACTGTTTTAAAATCAGTCCCGATCTCTTGGACTACAAGGGTCCAAGAGATTTGTGGTCAGTGGTCACTAACCGTTGGATGTAAATTCAACGATTCACTCACTTTTGCACTCCTTTTAAGAAACTTTTTTGATATTTTAATACCATACATATATAATGATCGTCAAACCCAATTGATCTTCAAGTCTTAAATAATACATATTAAATTAAAATATTTTAGACTAAATAAATTCTAAGACCAATGATTTTGAATATAATCCATCCACATTGCTCCGGCTATCTAATCTTTAGCATCACTAATTTCATTAGCATTATCCTCATGCAAATGGGTATGTACCCTGCTTGAGTCGCTCTAGAGCTTTCTTCATCTACCACATCAAGATCATGCAAATTGTGTAAAATTCCATTAGGGCCCCAATAATGTCACTTCAGACACCATCATAACTGTATATAACCAAATTGCAAATTTGAAATGAGAATAAATCTTCATAAGTCTCTAACTAAAATAGCAGATAAAGAATTCCATGATATAGCTGAGCCTGAGATACAAAATTGCTACCACACACAACACAATCCATGAATAAAGAATTCCATGGTAAGGTCTGCACTGTCATATTTCCTTCTTAGACTCTGTCAAATCTAACAAGCCTTCATAGAACATAATCTACATAGAACCCACTTTAAGCAAGCTCATGACAACTCTATTCAAAGCTTGATTTTTCATAACAGTAGAACAACTTATAATAACCTTCAATATGGTTCACTAGCCATATGCTTGACAATACCAGGAAAATCCAAACTATGGCCACAAAAATATGAAGAAACGATAAAACTGGCTGTATATAACTTAGAGAGAGAGAGAGAGAGAGAGAGAGAGAGAGAGAGATGTAGATGAAGAGAGAGATACCTCTGTAATGCTCAACCAGTCCAAAACAAAACTCACAAAAACAACAACCAAAGGGAACCCTACGGCTAAACATTGACATTTGATACCTCTGTGATGTGTCTATGAAATTGATCAAAATGAAAACTTGAGCTAAAAACTTCTTCTGTAACAATTCCTACTAGTTTGAACAAAGGTCTAAGAAAAAACTTGTGTACAAAATACATGATATTTACTGTCACATACTGAACAAGCTCTTATCCAAACTTGTCAAGTTAAGTGAAAAGATCAGTCACAATAAAATGAGTTAATTTTGACTGCAGAGCTCATACTATGGCAAGCTGATGTGCAAAAGACTACATATTCAAGAATTCTTTTTAAACAGAATATAGAAGTTGATTAACATATTAAGACTTCTTTTTGGACCAATACATGAAAAAAATTGCAGAGAAGCATCAAATGAACAATTCAACATAAGCAGGATCTCAGAAATTACAAGTAACCCAGATGAATAGTATCACTGAGCAAATATCATTCAGACTTCTGAGTACTAGAGACTTCAAATGAGATAAAAAAAAAAAACAAACAAAAACAACTGAAAAAACTGAAACCAAAGAATTCTATAACCAGAATAGGAAACACAGTGGACCCATAATGTCAAAATCTAAAAGCATTTCATCACTTTCTATGAAAAAATAATCAATCAGGTTATACACAAGAATTCATATAAATAAAATCGAATTAGATATAAATAAGCTATAAATCAAACATAACCCAAATGAAAAATAAACTCCAATCTTCAGTAACAAGGACAAAAAGGGAACTAAAAATTACCCGATTGTAGAGATCGGAGATGAGCAACTCCAGCTCATGACAAGCCAATGGTGTGCGCCTGTTCGGTGGCGTGTGACGTCGAGACTTCAACTGATGGAATCGCAGAGGAGGCGGCGAGGGCCGTGCTCAGATGCCCAGCCCTAAAAGTTACTGATGAGAGAGAGCGACGAAGAGAGAGATGGAGAAAGAGAGGGAGCAAGAGAGCTTCAAGCTTCTGCTATGGAGGCTTGAAGCTTGAGCTCGAGCAGAAGGAGCTCAGAGCAAGCATCGCTCGAGCGATGAGACGAGTAGAAAAAAAAATTCGAAAAAAAGAGACTTTTTCTGTTTTCTAATTTGTTGGTGTTTTTGAGTTTATTTTGGGTTCTTGTTTTTAAAAATGGGTCTACCAAACGAGTTTTTTTTTATTTTTAACTTAAAATCTGTTTTTGAGTTTATAAAATTGGATTCAAATCCAATACCAAACAGCCCCTTATTTTCTAGAAGTCTATAACATCTAGAAGTTCAAAGGCATCTTCTTCAACAAAGCAGATTTCCTGTGTGCGTGTGTACGCACACTTTTACATGAAGGAAACTTTGTTATCAACTCACTACTATGTACGGATAGAGAGTGAGCAGAAGTTAATAAATTCTTAATCAGATCATCAGCATAATCATTGGCAGTGCATAATTCAATCCCAGCCCCCATAAAACCACAGTTTTGTTGTTATAAAACCAATATAATCATATTGCTCAATGCCTAGTAAATTAATTAGTTCTATGTAAGTTGCATTTTCACATGAATAAACATGGCATGACTAAGAGAAATGCATATATCATACAAAAATAGCCACGCAAGAGCGAGTTGCCTAATTTCGTCAACACAAAGCATCTGCCACCTTGAGAGGTGCCTCACTGTTAATCATGAGGCAGAACGGGGGAACAATACAATGCTCACCAGAATCATTTTCTCACAAAATGAAGATTGTCAATCTCCAGAGTGTTCATCATCATCAAAATTTTCGTCATCCTTCATGTACTTCTCTTGCACCGCTGCAACTGTGAGCTACTCTGTTAAGCAAAACTCATTAAAACTACACCTTCCGATTTCTTTGATTTATATGCAACATGAATATTGAAATACAAAACCACACAGTTCAGATGTATCAACTAATCAAAAGAACTTCCTAGACATCAAGTTTTTTCAATTCAAATCAAATGCAGCATTACCTATCTGGACAGGAGGATCTCATACACATTCTGGTCCACCTAGATGTAAATGTAGAAACCCAGTGACTAGGTTGACTAGTTTAACTAATACCCAGCCAAACAAGTCCAAGTGATGGTAGATCAGAATTATTCTTTCAGATACTTAAACTAGTGGTTTAGTAGGATATTTTACACAAAAAGTGGACAAATTTGATTCTAAATTATGCTACAGCTTGAAGCATGCATCAAAAAGTGGACAAGAAAAAGGAATAAGAGAAAACATATTATTATAGAATCAAAATTAAAAGGATATCTGTAATAATCCCAATCAACTGGACCAACTGCAATCTTGCTGAACTCTGCTGCACTCGCTTCTATGCCAGCAAAAATGTATCCATTGCTCTTGTCTATCAGTTTAACTAGATTCCCCACACTCTCTTTATCCTGTAAAGTAGCAACTGAATTAAAACACCAAGTATAAAAAGTTCACGACGTCAGGAGTAAAGTGAAGAGGGATTGGCATGCCTGAATATCTAAAGTTGTAAAATTGACAAGACTGTAATCTTCTACTACATCACAAATCTCCTTAGTGAGCTTTCTGCAATACAAACAACAAACATTTTATTAATATCACAGAAGACTTTTCATAACTTTTCCACATGATCAAATGTTAATCACACCTGTACTTAGCCGAGCGAGGATCCTGATCAAGACTGTATTGAAGATAAGATAGATTCTCTACATCTGTATAAAAATCAAGGTTGAAAGCTGCAGACATCAAAAAGAAAATAGCAAAAATTAGCAAGGAGAAGGAGCACCGGCATTAGTATCAGATATTTTAAATGTTATGTATAAGAAGGGAACAGGAAGAAAAAAAAGAACCAGAGCCATACCTAGCTTTCCATAACTCTCTATTAAATCAATCTTAGACAAGACATTTATGTGTGGGAGTTCCATATGAAGCATGGTTGATAAAGAGAGAAGCAATGCACTAACATACTTCCCAGGGTCACTGCAAAGGTGGGCATCAACCAAATGAACTGCAGTCAACTGCATCAAATCAGGAAGCCATCAAGATAACAAGCACAAGGCACATCAACTATCATGGTCCTGGTGAATGGTGCAAGCTACAAAGATTGCAAAAGAAGATTATAATATACCCTGAGGTTTAACTTCTTTACGAGTTTCATGATAACATTCTTGGCGCTGGAGTGAAGAAAGAATAGTTCGACTTGGCCAGGTAAATCAAAGAGGAAGTAGTGATCTGCAAAGTTAATAACATTGTTAGGCAGGCAGCAAAATAAAACAGTTATTTCATCACTGCTCAGGGGACAACCTACAAGAACACTAACATGCCATTCCTTGCAAACAAACTATTATGATGCATAACTCTACAGGACTGCAGTTAGATAACCAAAAACGATGAAAAAAACATATCTACTTGCTTAATTGGTTTCAAATGATCCTTATTGCAGTTTCCCGAAGGCTTCAGTTATCATTTATACTCGGGCATCATTGGTCAAACATCAAGTATAATCCCAAACTACCACAGGAATAGCTCCAATTTGAACTGGTTCTTGCAATAACAATGCATATAAGTCCTTCAGAAGACACCAGTCAATAGATGCACACACCCTCTGAGAACTGTACAACTTCTCTTAATATAAACAACATGAAAAAAGACAGTTGTAACAAGTCGAAGAAGCAGTATTGATGTATCTCAAGCAAACATCATGACAGGACTGGACATCTCAAAAGTTTCGGGGGGATAAAAGTATGGTCAAGAATAATCATGACCTCTGGCAAACTAAAAAAGGATTAGCATGATCATAATTTCGAGAGCCTGAATATTTAAATACGTAAAGCAAGACAAAACAAGCAAACCTTTTACAAGAGGTTTCAACTTCGCCTCCAACCAGTCAATATTCTTCTCTAGATAATCCATGCAATATACAAGACCTGGATGAACATGACAAAAGAAACTTCAATAGTTGCAGAACCAGAAAATTATGTTGATCAAAAAATCCCTATGTTGATCACAAAATCCATTAAAAAACTTCTAAAAGACTATAATATTTCCACACACACAAAAAAAAAAAGCATCATTTGTTGAGTCTAACAAAAGCACACTCTTAAGCACCCATTAAAAGGTTAATCATAACGCTGATTGCAAACCATCTGATAACAGCTGACCGTAAACTATCCAATTTTCTTTTTCATTTACAATTCAAACATTGCTAAAAAAAGAAAAACAAACATTTGCACATTTTACTTTATCCAAGTGATGAACCAAAAGTGTTTATAGATATTTAGATATACTAAATAAATAAAAAATAGGAGCTCACCTCCGTTTGGACCAAGACCGTGCTCCACCATCACATCACTTAGTTTTATAAGATCCTCTATGTTCACAGCACATTCATATCTAAATTTAAGTAAAGGCTTCACATACTACAAGGAAAGGAAATTACTAAACTGCAAAATATGAAGAATGAAAAGTAAACTAATGAGTAGGATACGGCAATGCATCGTTGGCAGGATCCAAATTGATAACAGCAACTTTTCTGCATGCCCAAAATGATATAGTTGTCATTGACGCCATAGGAAGGAAAACTTGAAAACCAGAGGCAGAGAGAATGGCCTCTTGACGCATAAATTTGTTTCTGTGTAGTCTCTTTGGTTTGGGCTTTGCCCCCTATGTTACCAAAGAAAAAAACCAGAAGCAGAGGTGAAAATATACCTTCCAATGAGTTGGAGAAACTGAGACATGCCATTGCAGTAGGTGGTCTTCCCTGACCCAGGTGGACCAATCACCACTTGCCCAAAAACCATTTTCACTTCGTCTTCGTTTTTTCGTTGTTGGCAAAACTTCGTCTTCTTCGTTTATGTTGTCGACTGGGTTCCAGATTGAGGAGGCTAGGGTTTGAAATTTGGGGGCGGGTAACTGTAGGAGCTTGAGGAGGCAAAAACAGTAAAAAAAAAACAATTAGGGTGCCTTTGGTATCCTATTTAGATAAGGAACTCAAAAACTTTGATTTTTCTTAAAAACAAAAAGTTCTCAGATTCATTCTTACGTCCCGCACCTCCTCTTTTCCTGTGTCTCCAAAACCCACCCAATTCACATCTCTCTTTTTCTCTCCGTTTCTCTATCTCCCTCCCAAGTTCTCTGGTTCTCACTCTTTCTCTCTCTAGTTCTCTATCCTTGGCTCTCTCTCCCTCCCGATCTTTCTCTATTTTCCCCTTCAACTTCAAAGTCGCAGATCTTCATCCCCTTCAATTGGGTTCGATTGTGTTTGATGTGGAGGTTCTATTATCTAGTTGTCTATTTTGGGTGTTTTCAGTCACGAATGCATAAAGTTGGATTAGTTTTTTTTTCTTTTTTTCCTGGTATGAAACTGGAATTCCATTAAACGCCACAGCCCTACCCAATAACAGAGATTCAACCCTTTCCAATAACAGAGATTCAACCCTGCCAATATACGTTTATATTTGTTTTGTTTCAGATTCAGTTAACTGGTTTGTTTTTTTTTTTTTTGGTTAAATACTATTTGTTTTGTTTTGGTTAAGTGTGTATGTGAAGATTAGAATCTGTTTTAAGTGTGTTGAATTTTTTTTTTTTTTTTTTTTTTTTTTTGAATCTGTTATGATCATTTTGCTTCAATGGAGGTATGACTTAGCTTCTTGGAAGGGTTCTGTTTGGATTTTTTTATTATGTATTTTGCAGTTGTTTGTATATGTTTATTATGTTTATTATGTTTATTGAGATAATGTGATATGTTCTGTTTTAAGTTAAAAATGGGTTGTTTTTAATGTCTTGATTGTGTTAAATCTTCTAGTGTTGTTATGCACAGTTATTCGTAAAGGCTTTTGAATGGATGCAGCTGTTGTTTTGTATTTTATATCTTTATATGCATTTTTATTATGAATTGTAAGGTGTTATATTTGTTTCGTTGGTTGATGATTGTATTAATTTCTGATGGATTTAGTTGTTTAAACACTTAGATTATAATTTAGAATGATGGATGAATTATACTTGAATATGCATGATTTGATATTCTAGAAAAAAAGAAAAAAAAAAAAAAAGGGATTTGATTTGAGTAAGTTTTAATAGATTTAGGCTTTAGTTGATGTTTAAGAAAAAAATATATGAATTGGGCCTGTTTTAATAGCTCATTTTTAAGGGAAAAAAAATTATTTGGGCCAAAGCCCAAAACCCAATAAAGAGCCATAACCGAATCGAACTCAATTGGGTCGGCCCAACTTTGGTTTTAAACTTTGACCCGATCCGACTCGAGAATCACTAGTTTGATCTGTTTAGCCCACGGGTCAGCCAAAATCTAACCCGACCCAAATCGTGCCCAGGCCTATCATAATTTAACTCTTCTCTTAGCAATTTGATTCTAATTTTTGACATTTTATGTTCATCAGGCATAGGAAGATAATGATCTTTTAAATAGCTAGATGATGCATTAAAAAGTTGTTCTAATTCAAACAAAAGTGAATTTTTTAATTCAAATTCTGACAAAATCATATTTGGCATTAGAAAAGCTTTCTGTAGTTTGTACAAAATGTCATCACACATATTTTGCCAATGAGTATCAAAAAGCAATTGGGGATTTCCTATATCACAAAACAAAATGATTATAACAAACAATTGTCTTAATTGAGAACATGAGGCTGTGTCCACAGCATTTGCTAAGGCCTTAATCCATTCTTTATCATCTCCTAACAAACCTAGGCATTTACATGCAGCATGATATGACGGTTGTGTGATACTATCAATAGTTTTAATGTGATCAAAATCCAAGGCACCTTTTTGCAAATTCAAAAGCATTCTCAAGTAATACAATTCACCAGATGCAGGATGCACATAGGCTATTCTACCTATTGCTCTCCTTTATTTCCTAGGTTTCCAAATTTTGTTGCGATAATCCCACACAAATTTTGTAGGGAATTCTGCATAAGTCAATATTCGTGCTTCAGGAAACATTTGGTTTGCTTTAAACCAACTTGTTAGCATTGTATCTTCAATACCCTTTTGGTTAACAATTGATTCAAGTGATTGATCACCATTGAAAACAACATTTTGTTCTAAAGGCAAATGTATTGATAATCGTTCAACAGCAGGCTCTCTAGAATGAATAGGGTATTGAAACAATCTCCAAACGGCTTCATATAGGGATATGTATCTACAATTCAAATAAGCTAATATTTCATCCTTTGGCTTCTCTTCAAAAACTGCTCTAGCCATATCTGAACCTTTGTTTATAGATTTAAAAAGATATTTTATAAGCATTGATTGGCAACATGATTCAACATTTAAGTGTGCGTTGTATCTCAATAATAATTCTGAATTGTAAGGCACCACAAAGCTGTTGTCAACCTTTATTCCATTTTTTAACACAAATTTTGTTGGATCTTCACGGCGCTTGTATGTAGGAAAACCATTTTTTTCAAAAACTGATTGGCTCTTATATTGTTTGGGAAAAGACTTAGAACATACACCTCCTCGCATGTAGGGAAAATTACAGTTCATTTCTCCGCAAGGAGCGTGGATCATAAATTGGCTCACAATATCATAAAGCATAGGATCCACATCCTTCTTTGGTAATTCTGCAGAAACGATGGAATCTATATTTGCTGCTGAGAAGCATTTATAACCTTGTTTCAACCAGACCAACATATGACAATGAGGCAATCCTCTTTTTTGGAATTCGATCGTACAAATGTCTGTTTGTGATCAAGGCAACAAATACCAAAAAAAAAAAAACCTAATAAGTTTTATTATCATTAAAAAATATAAGAAATTGAGGATAGCTGAAATTATGAGTTTGTAAAATTCACCTGCCTCAACTTCTCCAAAAACTTTTCCTGATTTAATATAACTGATCATATCATTGAGCTTCATTTTAAACACTCTAGAAATTAGATCTGGTCTATCCTCTCCCTTATATCTAGGCTTGTTATCAAGTTCTCTAGCAATTTCAGGCCATTTGACATTGCATGTAAAAGTAATAAATAAATCAGGATTACCATAATGCCAACAAATTGCCATAGCATCTTGATAGTTATTAAGCATGTATCTAATACTTCCAGTATATGAGCTAGGCAATATCACTTTTTGTCCAACATTATTAGCATCACTATCACCCTTTAAAATTGCATCATAAATACCTTTATAGACCTCACTTCTCAAATTCTTTTGATTTTGCTAATGTAATCCAATCGATCTTCTTCAAGTGTTGCATAAGAATCTACTAAAAACTATTGGAACAATCTTCCACCTTTTAACAATGTATCCAATAAAGGGCCCTCTTTCCTGAATCTGATAAGCTAAGAAAGCTCTCATAGGCACCCTTCCTCTTTTGGGTGCATGACCTTTGTAATCATTGCTCCATTTTAAATCAGGCCTATAACCATCTTCACCATAAGGGAAAAGAATAGGATATTGCAAAGACATGAACTTTGGATTTAATTTTGTGATGCGTTTCAACTCTCCAGCTTTCAACTCTATAACAATATCTCTATTTGAATCAAAAAGGCCTATATCTCCCACAACCAAACCACCAATTTCATCACATGTTGGTTGTTCATATTGTTTACTATCATTTGCTTGCCGACCCAACAATCTCAGTTTTAAAGGAGTAAGAGAACCCCCTTCAAATTTATCCCTGACTGTTCGAAAAAGTTTTACCAATTCATTTGATTCGTCAAACATCGTAATTAGACCTTGAACAATGTCTTCATCAAGCTTTTCATTCTTTTGTTTACAATTAACGGCATTAAGGCGATTCATTGTTTCATTATGAGTATCATATATGTATAGCTGAGCAAATTTTGGACATTCACCTTCAAGGGGTAACAAAGAACCAATTAAATGATGAACTTGACAACTAATTTTAAAAATATAAGGACTTGGTATATTGTCAATTGAGTGATCAACTTTGGCTCCCATTGAAGTAAATGCAAACATAGAATTATAGGCCCTGATATTCTCTCTAAACAGCAAACTTTTTGGGCCTCTATCCGGATCAAGTAAATTTTTTTTAAAAAGAGGTGTTGGCTTTGAAATCGGAAGTTTGATCTTTCCTTGTTGGCAACAAAGAGTAAAAAGAGGCTCATTAGTTGCATTTTTTTTTAATAGATTCTTTGAACCAAAAAAGTGCACCGCAATAAATGCACTTACAATTTTTATCTCCCAAATCCACATATTCTTCAATCATTCCTACAAAGAAACACAACGTAGAACAGGGCAAAAAGAGAGAAAAATAAGACAAATGTACGCCCCGAGTAATATAAAGATAGGGTTGAAAATAAATAGTTAACAGAGGAAAAAACCGTACTGTGCCTCTTCCTCTGATAAAATGCTTGACCCCTATTCATCTGATCAGAAGTGTCTGAAATCTCTTCTCTGGTTGTTTGACTTGTGTTTATGTGACGATAGCATATATTCTCAACACATTTTCGTTTCTTGTTCAAAGTTTGAAAGGTTTTTTTATGGCTTGTTTTGGAATTTTTTGTGTCTAGATGCTTATTTTCGTTGTGAGGATGACAAACATTTTCGCTAGAATATTCTATACCAACTGAACTACCAGAATCACAGGCTTGTGACACTATGAAAGCTCTATTGGAAACTCTAGCTTTTTTTTGACAGCATATGAGTTTGGCAATTGTTTTTATGACTGGTTTCATAATTTTTTTTGGCTTGATGCTTATACTCGGTATTAGTGCAATAAACATTTTCATGACAGATTTGTGTACCACTTGAAGTGGCATAAATATGGGTTTCCTGTGTCCTCAGGCTTTTTCTGGTTTTTGTAATCCTTTTATACATGATATTCAAAAATTACAAATTTCAACGAACAGATCGATATCTGGAAAGAAATAAAAACAATATGCATGAGTTAAATTATAATATTTTTATTACATCTATAGCCTAATAAAGCAAAATGGACGCACACCAACAATACTGCGGCTATAGAATTAAGAATTGTCAAACAATATAGCACCTGAAAACGAATTAAATACAATTTCTATAGCCTAACCAAGCAAACCAAATATAAGCAATAACATCACAACCACAGAAATAACTATTTTCAAATGACACAATATCCAAACACTAATTTGCCACGGTTGATATGCATGACCTCTTTAAAAGATGAAAAGAAAATTGACTCGTTGCCTAGCAACAATGAGAAGAGCTATCAAGCAGTCCAAAAAGCAATTACACATCACCTATAGAAAAACGCAAAAAGCGAAAAATGAAATAAAGCAACAATCAAAAGAGTGAAAAATAAAAACACAGATTCTGTTTGTGATAATGGTCTAAAAGCACATGATTTACGACAAATAAAAATTTTCGAAAGGAAATTAAGAAAAAAAGGAGCTACTAATATACATAAATCAAATAATTGTCTATAAGTACATGACTTCAATATAACGCCTTTATGCATGCACCAAGATGAGTAAACAGATAGGTTATCACATGATGAGAAGACTAAAAAGATAACAAAATTTCCATTACTATATGAAATCTTGCTCATATTTTTAACACCAACATAAATTTAGTTTTGTGTAAACAACTTCACAATTACAAATATCTATTATTC